ACGTTAAGTGACGTTTTTGATAAGTACTCAATTACGATCCTCCACTGCGATTACTGGTCTATTAAATGCTCCTTTTTCCAAACCGTGGACAGCTCTTTTGTGCTTTTCGGCAACTCATCAGCACAGTCTAGACCTGATATCTGAGACAAGCAACGAAAGCATAGCAATTGTCTAAGATATGAGATTTATCGAGGTAGCAGTCACAGTGGTAAACACGAACAGTTCCATCCGATATCTGACGTACACTCTCGTAGTACTAATAGTCTTATTTCGTTTCATTTCATTGCTTAGATAAAAAATGGTTGCTTTGCTTTTTTGCAGAAGCAGTATATTTAGTTATTTAATAGCAAGGGGACATTTAGTATACCGCCAAAATTATAGCGGCCACAGTAATTCTGGTAATAAATGACGCTTCACACTGTCTTACTTCGACAGATCACTGGCCTATATTGTGGCTAATACCTATCAACATTTCCTGCAACAGCTCCAACCTTCCAAGGAAGTCGATCAGATTGTTTATAGAAATATCGTTTACGACCTCCACTTGGAGCAATGCCCCTCAAAGTGTATTTGTAACCACCTCTAGCAAGCGCAATTTGCACTGACCGGTATACGGTCCTACCTCCACTAGAGCCTTGAGGCTATCCCTATTTAGCCACAGTGATAAATATGTTACCTGCTTTGTTAAATTTTGTATAAGATGACCTTGTCAATCTCCTCCAGTATTGCGACTGCTTCCATCCATATCTGCAAAAACTTGTCTAGCCGTGTTATACGTGAGTCCGATCGCTGGCTCGGAGCTCTTAAAGAATCTACTAGCCCCATTCCAGAAGATCCGCTGTCTGGTTTTGCTCAAGCTCTCTGTGGCCCTGTGCCTATATGAGATGGAACTCATAGTTGTTACGAGCTTCTCTTCAAGCTTTCGATGTCTAAAATGAGGGGCTTACTGTTCGGCATACAAAATTTTTGCTCTGACCTCTTCCTGAATACTTTCAGATGTCTTTGGAAAACGGCTGCTTTCCAAACACATGGAAACAGGTTTTAATTATCCCAATTCGTAAAAAAATGAAACTCACTGAGTATAGTGATCTCGGACCTATCAGTTCGTTAACAATTTCGTACAAATTTTAATAAAAATAGTAAATTTCCAATTATTGATCTCATAAAAAAAATACTTTATACTTTCCGATACTCAAATCACAACAACATCTGCACTACTTAATCTGCAAGGCAATATTTTAAGTGCCATTGATAAGAAAATGGCACTGGCGTTAATCTCGAAACACTATTCGAAAGTTTTTGACAGCGTCAATGATAAAATGTTACTTGCTAGATACAATTACGTGAAACGAACTGTTTTGTCAACAAAGAAATGCCTTTTGTAGAGGATAGGCAGTTGCTCCATTATTTTAATCAAGATAATCTCAATAATACTGACCAAATTTTACAAAACGACGTTAGTAGATTAAATATACTAAGTGACATATAAATCCGAACACCCAGTTTAAATGGTTTTATTTTAATAAAAGTTGGTGAATGTATTTATCTTACTGTAACTAACAAGTGAAAAAATTTTCAGCCTTATCAGTTGGACATTCCGGTTTTTATACTGCTTTTTTTTTTAATTCACTAACGCTCTAAAAATGAATATTTTAGCCGCAGTAAAGAATCAAATTTGGCGGATTTTGGTTCTTGACAACCTTTACGATTGGTTACGATGCCTAGAGTACGGAGACCTGTACGATTTCGTCAACTTAGTGAGTTTGATAGGGGCCGTATAGTGGGACTTCGGGAAGCTGGACTTTCTTTTCGGGCAATTGCAGTTAGAGTCCAAAGAAGTGTAGACACTGTGGTTAGGTGTTGTCAGGCATGGCTTCGAGAAGGCCGTACGCAAAGAGCAAGGGGCACTGGACGCCGCAGTAGAACAACAGACCGTGGAGATGGCCGCCTAAGATTATTGGCCTTAAGGGACCGTTTCTCCACTACCAGGTCCATTGCAAATGAATGGCTTGCAGAACACGGAAGACCTATTGGCATGCGAAGTGTTTACCGACGAATGAGAAGTTTTGGCTTGTTTTCATACCGACCACACTGAGTCCTCCCTTTAACTCGAGAACACCGACGTAATCGCCTTGAGTGGTGCAGACAACGGTCACTCTGGGATCAGGAATGGAACAGTATTGTCTTTAGCGACGAGTCTCGATTTTGTTTAGGCATGCACGATGGTCGTGCCAGGGTTAGAAGGCGACGTGGTGAAAGGAGGAATCCACAGTTTTTTGTTGAAAGACGTGTTCATCACACTGTTGGAGTTATGGTTTGGGGTGCTATAGCTTATGGTTCCAGGTCACCGTTAATCTTCATCAGAGGTAACATGAACGCGCAGCGTAATATCCACGAAGTTCTAGAACCCCATCTTTTACCCTATCTTGACACCCTGGCAGATCCAACTTACCAACAAGATAATGACCAACCACATGTTGCAAGAGTCACAATAGACTTCTTTCAACATAATGATGTCACATTGTTACCATGGCCACCAAGATCTCCCGACTTATCCCCAATTGAGCACGTGTGGGATATGATGGGTAGGAGATTGCTAAATTTGCAACGTCCTCCTCCGACTCTAGAAGCACTTCGAGAGGAGTTGGTGGTTGCCTGGAATGAGATACCACAGGAGGACATTGACTACCTGATCAGAAGCATGCCTAGGCGCGTTGGAGAATGCGTAGCACATCAGGGTGCATCCACACATTATTAAAGGTCAAAGGGCTTTAAAGCAGTGCAATCATTTTGAAATTTTTATCATTTACTTATTGTGCTTCATTAAGTACTTATACAAAATTTTATTAAAATAAAACCATTTAAACTGGGTGTTCGGATTTATATGTCACTTAGTATATATACCTCATCCCCTTTGAAATGGTAGCCATTTTTATTTTGAGTACGTAAGTGTCACAGAATAATAAATTTGGTGTCATTTGAACGATGACATGTTGTCCTAGCAATTATTGAAAAACTTGTTTTGATACTAACCGAAAGTTGATTATTTTGTGCTTTTCCGCACACCACTTAAAAACTAGTCTGTGAAGTTGTACTTTTTTGTGCTAATTCTACAGCTTTTGTTAACCTAAGTATTCTACGTTCAGCAATTAATGCTATCTAACATGGGTCAAAATGGGTGTAATAAAATGCAAATTGTTTTCAAACTGTCTATACATAAACATGACAAATCAGAGTTTCTTATAGACAGTTTGGACATGTTTAATGTTACAGAAGCTGTTCCCCATTATTGGTTATGAACATTTTTGTTCTTAAAACAATGAGTCGTGTTGAGCGGCAGACCATATCCGTGTCAGCCCAGGGGGGTGAGGTAGAACATTGAAGGGGCTGGATTTGTCGATAAAAATAGCTGAAAAATATCCCCCTCATATATCGGTTTGTCGTGACCAAACACATTGTATATAAATCCACAAAAATCCAAGATGTTTATTTCGCGCCCAAAGGAAAAATAACAATCTAAGACAGCTCGCTTTGGTGTTGTTTTTCATATAAAATTAAGTTTTATTGAGCTTGCTAAAAGTCTTTCACAGAAAACTTCTCTACCCTTATAGCAAACAGGTATTTACTAAATTTTAAGTTGCATAAAAAATTATGTGACGCATTGGTCATATCTATACTAAATTATTGTAAAATTACGTTATTCAAGTTATTCAATTGAATTGTATACGTTTTATCTTTGGCACACGTAAATTTGATCATGTGTCTATAAAACGCTCAGTTTTTTATCTCAAAAACTTCGATCATATATGCCCCTCTAAACGTGGAGGTTTATGCTCAAACGAGCACATTGCCATGATATTTTGGAAGGCGTGAGCACCCCTCTCCTCTCCCTAATCCAATCTCTTGAGGTATTATCAGGCCTGAACTCTAACGCTGCCCTCACCACCCTCCCACGTCTCCAATTGTCACCCACGGGCTGGCTGGACAAGTGCAAGTGCAATATCTACATTTTTTCCGCTTTTTAGGCGTCTCGTCTTCCGTTTTCAGCATTTTTGATCTAACAGTACTTTTGGAATAATCATCCAGCTAATCTAATCTAAGCTTCCAACGCATAATACATTATGATCACACTTTCAGACTCATTGTGTTTAATTAATAACTCATAGTTAATAAATTATGTATTATTTCCGACACTATCCAATCAACATTTAATTGCATTGTATTTGTATAACTATACGTATAGAAGCTTCATGTTAACAACGGCTCTGTTTCCAAAACGGTAATAAATTAATTCAATTACTTCATAACTATATTTATCGATCGATGACCTTATATAGAACTGAAATGGATGTTATGCTTTTTACTAAGCAATTATCTGGGTAAAAACGACCTAATGCCTGTCGTGATATCGTTCCAGTCAATGGTGAAAGGTATCCTCAAAAGGGATGGGTCTCAGTACGCTTTTGTCGTAAATTGTTAGTGCAGTAGAATTACAGATGTAGAAGCTTATGTAATTTGAGAGCGATTGTTTCAGAATGATATCTAGATTTGGACAAAATATGTTCAGTAAGAGAGATAAGAACTTGCAGAAAAAATACTACAAACGTTGAGACATTAAAGCCGATCCGGTAGGGTAGTCACAAATATTTTCTACCTACCTAAAATTCATATTCTTGGATTTAAGAGCCTCTGCATGCATGCTATTCTCCATCACAAAGAATATGTGCGCAAAACTCAAAGTAACAGCGGTATATAGTCTAAGAACAAGTTAATAAAACACAATATGTTATTTAAAAGTTAATCTGTTGGCAGTATTAATTTCGACTGAGCATTAAGGCTAGATTTCTAAGGTTGAACTAGCTAAGCATTCCTAGAATCAAGCTTGGTTCAAACTTTGCTTATAACATACAGAACTTGGCTTAATGGGTAATGTAATGTGTACAAACAGTTTAAATCTGTAACTTGAAGCATTGCTCGACTTTGTTCATCCTCGTACTTAGGTAAGATACACATATTGAAATTATTTCTTCTTCCAGATTTTAATATACTTCACAGTTCTCGTCATCAGTAGCAAATCAGAAAGATTAAGAAGACGAAGCACATTCCAGTATCCAGCATCCTCCGGAGGCCTTCAGATTGGTGGGGTAGATGTAGATACGTTCGGTAAGGACCTTACCCACTTTCCAACCACATATGCCATTTTTCCGAACACTGTATCGGCTATATATACGTAAGTAACCATTTTTTGTTGAATGTGATTGGATACATATCGACTTCAAGGCTTTAATAAAATACAGGGCGAATCTTTGGAGTATTCTAAGACAATGTTGGCCTTTGACATGTGGAGATATAGGCACCTGACGGACTTCACTGGGAAACGGTTTCTCTTAAATCAAAATATGAAAAATAACCAACTCACTTGTAAATTTTATGATAAAGGTACACAAATAAGACAGCGCAAAGCCCCATTCATTACCAGAATCTGCATTTTTTTAATAGCTCAGTCACCACGTGACCGCTAGATGGCTGACGTTTCTGGCTGTAAAGTACAGGTGGTCTGCCTCCCATTGAATAAAGCAACATGTATAGTTTATTTATTGGCCCCTTAGGTGATACTTCTGGAATTAAAAAATATATTATTTCACTTCCCACATAACTGGCGAGGATAATCGAATTGAATGATATGTGCGTTACGAAAAAGCAATTCACTCATTTTTGTCGGTGTGTCTGTCTGTTAATCATTGGCCCTGCGATAACTTGGCCAAGTTTTGACGAAATGTTCTCACATGGTTACTAATAAGCCAAGAACTGAAATGGCTGAAATATAGTTTTTTTTCGAAGTTTTAGATCGTCCTCATCCCTTTGGGGAAAAACTTTATAAGGGTTGGGGTTTGTAAGGGTAGAGGGTTGTATATTTTGCTTATTTGGTATCAGTAGAAAACGTTTAATTATACAGAACTTTGTGATTTCGGTAGTATCACCCACCTGCCAGACGTAATACCACATATATTCCGAGTAAGTGACTCCAGAAATACCAGCTACCCGGGAAGTCGCGACACTTTTACCACCGGAGGGTCCGATCCGAATTCAGCAACGCCGACTGCGTCCCAGACATCAAAGTCGTCGATGACGCGCGACGATGCAATGATACCAGAGCTTACGAAACTTTTCCAGATACTGCATCATGTACATATTCGGATACTGAAAAGAAAGCAAAACATATCCCACGCCACTGCCACCGCTGGTTCTCTTTGAGTACGGCAGGATGCGCGCGCTGTGACTCTCACAGGGAAAAAATACATGGAAAAACTATAGTGATACCCCCTATTTTATTGTGGGCATGTGGATAGTTTTTAAGCAATTTCTCTGAAACTTGTTGGCCGACCCCCAGTTTTGAGTTCAGATTCGCGTCCATGACAAAATCATAGTCTAGGTACTAATTTTTATTTTGTGGGCCTGAGTTATTGATTTTGGAATCGAATTTTATTATTTATTTAAATTTGTTTTCTATTTCTCCAAAAGGTCTCACCCAACCTGGCACCGTCACCATAGACCTCACCCAGCAACAGCAGCAACAACCTAGCCTCCAGCAGGTCAATTTTATCTCCTCGAATGACATTGAGAAGCCCGTAGATGAGATCCAGGAATTCGTTCCTCCCCAGATGCAGGGAGGGCAGACTGCCATCATCCCTCTGTTGCCACCCCCCGCCACACCAGTGCAGATCACCAGGCCGAATAATGCTGCAAATGCAAATGGAGGAGCTGTTTTCCTGGGATCAGGAGCATTAGGGGTTGTCGCTCTCGGTGGAGGTAAGACTACTCATACTCTTTTAACAATAAAAGCACGTCTTAGTGTGTGGATCTGCTGCTGAATGCGCCATTCCTTATTCTGTATTACATAATAACAAGCTCAAAAGTCATCAGGATTGGAACATCCATAGGAAACTCGAAAGATGAACATCCATGTCTCCACAATCGTAAGAACAGTAAGTTTGCAGAGTTTGTAAGCCAGTTCGTGGAAAATATATTTCCCTTACATCCTTACTGCAAAAAATTTAAATTAAAACATATATGTGTACATAATTCTACCTACCTGATAGTATAAGTCTTGCTTTCAATTGGGATTACTTGAAATTATCGAAGAACTGTGTAACAATGATTTACTAAATGTTATGCGTCCACGCTACATGACTTAACCGTCTTTTTTAAAAAGATTGTCTATCACCAGGCGTGGAAAGTAAAACACTCAAAATCATGAAAATGAGAAAAACGTATTATAAGTTAGGGAAAATTTTGTCTGCCTGTTAGTTTGTTCTGATACGGTCAATCTTCAACTTCCGGAATGTAGTAACTTTATGACTACTCTTAAAATTTCAACAACATCGGTTAAGCGATTGCTGAAATTACGCGCTAAGAAGAAAGCTACGGACAGACCAACAGATCGGCAATTGGATCTGAAATCTTGACCTTGACCTTGACTTTGACCTTGAAAAACGTAAGAGTCTGCGTTAGGGTATATATAAATCGAGGTAGAGTTGATAATGACGTCTACAAACGCATATGAATCTATTAGCTTACCTTGAAATGACATTCCAGGTTATTGTTAGGGTCAAGGTGGTCCAGTTCGTCAGTTTTGTCATTAATTCTTCATATCAAAAACAACCTTCAGAGTTTTGGGGCAACATATTAGCAAACACTACCCTTAGACGATGAAGTAAATAGATGAGACGAATACGTAGTTTTTCAGCAACTAATGAAGAATCTATAACGTTTTATGGTAATCGATATTCCAAGACAGTAGCGTTGTAGCTTGTGTCATTTTCGACACAAAAAACAAGCTTTAGATTTACTCATAGTACGAAATCTACTCTTCGGGTATACTAACTCGCTGGACTCTGAACATGCTAGTCAGTAAAATAGTGTACCAATAAGGAGTTGCAACTTTATGTCATCCATCAAAAGCCAGTCGTAACTCTAACGAAGCAGGACTACAGGTGGAATATATCGCTACCCAGCTGTCTACCTTATTTTACGGTTATAGAAACACATGTGAAATACTAGCGTAACTGTTATTTATTGATACATAGAAACATGGTCTTTTCACCTCAGGAAATAGCTAAACGTATATAGCACTAATAATAAGCTATGAAAACAATTTAGACCGACAGATCACTGATTAGGTAAGTCGAAAGACACACAATTACAAGCATATCATTAGAAGTTTTTAATTTTATTAATAATGAGATATTACGTATATTGATAAAATGCCGTAATACAACGTACACATTGGCGTAGTGTTCTGGATACTATTTGTTTATTACTGAGAATCGTGCAGGTCACTTAATACAAGCAACAGCAGAACTTTGGGCATTAGAATATATACTTTGAAGTTGAGTCATTAATTTTCAGATAATGATTGTAGAAGGAAGACAAACCAAAATATGTGTGTAAAAATAAAAAGAAAATTAAAAAAAAATGTTACCTTGTTTTATAAAGTATCCTCCCCACAAGTATTTCAGTGCGGACCTGTATTTGATCGTGAGGTCTTGGAGCACTGGCATGCCGTCCATATGTGAGGTCTTAAGTCAAATGATTCACGAACCCGTTGTACTACATTAACAAAGGCACGAGGGGTTGGTTGCACTCGATTGGGAAACCGATCCGCATAAACATGTGCCATTTTTTATTTCGTTTGAGCCACGCAACAGACACCACTATTCACTACCGACTGACACTGACTGTATACAACTGAATGAAATAATTGTAAAAACATCGTTCCAAATTCTTTCGCTTTTTTGTTTCCGATGCGATGAACCGATAAGGCGGATTATATCCGTTGTCGCCAAACACGAGCACATAATATCATTATTGAGACAGGGCGGTACTCAAACTTCCAAAGGGCTATAACTTTGTTACTTTAATTTTACCAGAAAAATGGTAAAGGAAAAAAACATTTATTTTGATCAGATCTACTCACTGTTAAAATAAATGACTCAACTTCGAAGTCACCCTGTATAACAATTACTTCTAGTCGTTGATCCATCATAGTTTAACTACCAAGGTCAAAATGGGCTTTCCGAATGGGATATAAATACACTCCCAATCCTATGACAATGAGAGTTCCAATTAAAAAACTCCTGCTTTGTCATGGTCTGGACGAAATCTTGTGTCCAAGGTAAGTTTGGTGATAGGACCCTCGGGAAATCTCAGGCGACCAACTTTTTCCCACAGACCCGGGCATACGACACGTCACAATCTGTTGCTGGTGATGGTGGTGGTGAAATCTCATTAATTTGTAACAAATAGAGGCAACAAGTAGATTTTGTAAAAATCAAAAAGCCCAGCTGCAGTAACTGGAAAACCAATACCCGTACACACATACACGAAATAGAACTTTCTGAGGCAGTCTTATACAGTAACGTAATTTGAGATCTAAGATTTTTTTTAAAATCAATCCAAGTATATACGGTCTAATCCAAAGTAAGCTGTGTACGTAGTTTTTGAATCAGATGTCAATTTCATGCCAGCACTCACAAGAAACCTCGAGTGACACAATGTCTACCCCTAATTCATCTTCACAACACAGCACATCCTTTTGATGGTCATATTCACATTCAGCGACCTTGAGTTACTGAGTTTCATTCACTTGTGACACCGATAGACGAAAATAGAAATTTTGCACTATAAAGTATTTTGAGGATTTCTATGAGACAGTTTTCAAAGTATACCAGGTATGTGTAAACTGGAAGAAACCTGATTCCCAGGATACATCGGATAAGTTCGACTCTACGGCGGACACTTCGCGATCGTTATTCGCGAAGTGTGAGAACTTCCGAAACTCCTCAGATCTATCAGGCTCTGATACATGAATAAGACTATCCTGCCTCTCAGTTTTCTTGTGACTAGAATCCAGTTGAACCCATCCATCTGGTCAAGGATACCATGTTGGTAATTAAAATAACCAAAATAAGCGTTTAAAATCTAAACCAATCTATGATGACATGCAGATTGTAAATATTGTGCCGTTACCAATACACAAAAAACAACAACTAGTTTAGTCATACAACAATGACTTTTAAATTATGTAATACCCGTAGAGGAGTTATAATACCAAAATGCTTGCGGATCCTTTTGTTTACCACTTGTGATAGAACGTTTAATGATATGGAAAACCTAGAAACATATTACGTGGCGAAAATGATACATTCGCAAATTTATGAGATTAACGTCAGAAGCTATTAGAAAAGGTAGTAGAACTCTTTCTATCCGCTATTCTATTCCCTCAAGAGTTGGCCCTCTGAGCTTAAAGGTACAGGCAAAGAATAGGGAATGTCACAATTTTTATATTTTTTTTTTAGTTTCCTATTGGAAGCAAATCCTTGTCTATGATATTTCAATGTTTGAGCGAAACGAAAAGAACTGGGAATAATTTGACGTTGAATATGGTTTCTGATTCAGATACTGATGAAGTCAGGGCTTATTAATGCTTATAATGTGAAACGAAGAAAAAGGAAGTTTGAAGATGATACTAATTTTCATACAGCTGCGTACAGCTATAAAGTGAGGGTAAAAGGTATCAACAATAATGTTATGAAAGAAGTGCCTACATGTTTTAAATCATTCACTGCACTTCATGGGATTGCCAAAAGAAAGGTTGAATATTTACGAAAAAACTGAAAATCAACAGGAAAAGCTCGAATAGATCAAAGAGGAAACTATGAAAATCATAAAAAAAACTGCATCAGAGATTAAACAAAAAGTGTTTAGTCACATTAACTCACTTAAAGGAAGATTGAGTCATTACAGTCTAAAGAGACAGTAGGAAACTAAAATACGATTCAAAAACCAAAGATTTAAATTGTGTCAAAATGTTTCATTCGGTTTTTGTTCAATTGAACTATGTTTAATAACTAAAAGCTCCAATGTCAACGTCAAAAATATATTACATATAAAACATTCAATTAGTTCTGATTAAAAGTTACTGCATACTTTGATCTCAATAAAAATAATATACGTTTAAGCTTTCAATTGCGTTTTTCTCAAAATCAGTTCATTGTGTCATCCAAACAAATTAATGATATGATGTTGCCTAATCGGGTTCACTGCAAGAGATCGTCCCGGACTATCAAAAACTTATTGTTAAATATTCTGTTATATTTTCGCAACAAAAAATAAGGAATCAGGTAGATCTATGTCGGAAGTTGAAAGACATAAATACTTAGATGCATCTCAACTGAAAAAATGATTTCGGGGAAAGTAGAGCAGTGGTTCAGGTATAACTGAAGAAACAAATAAAGGTATAGAACCTTAAAAACGTATTTTGCATCTTGAATTAATGGGTACCCTTAAATCAACACAGACTTTCGACTCTTCTTAGCGCATAAAAATGGTCAGTTACTCAAGAAAGTCAAAAGTATTAAAAGCTTACATCATAAGACTTTATGACCAGTCACTATTAAACTGAACATGCATGGAAGAACAATGCTTCCTCAACTAATACCTCATATATGTCTGAAGCTATTCACGATATGCCATGAACGATATAGCTATATATTTCTAGTACTTCAATTTGATACGCGGCATAAACCTTTATACACACTTTCAAACAAGGTCTTCAACACTTTCAATAAATTGATCTCATGTATAAAATACACGGTATTATTAACCGTATATGTAGAATAGCAAAAATTTGATATCTTGTTCGCAATTATCTTTAAAGCTATAAAGTTATTTCCATATTCGTTGGACATTATCGTCAATAAATATTTTTTGTATTGAACGTTTCATATGCATATGCGAGTGGTTGATCTAAGTACATGATTTACCGATGGCATTTCACGGTAGAATATGTATTTTGCAATTGGTCTTTGTGCTGTTGTCGATTCTGTCTAGACTTGTACTATTTTTATCAGGTCGTACTAAAAATGGTGTATTTGGAAGTTGAATAATCTGTTAAAGATATCGTGATTGATATTTTGATAGGCGTTTTTATTTAACCTGCGATTCAAGACCAAAGGATAAGGCCCTACAAGGCCCTACAAGGTCTATATCCGTGAGACAGACTAAAAAAAGGATAAGGCCCTACACGGCCCTACAAGGTCTATATCCGTGAGACAGACTAAAATTCCTATGTTCTTTCAAACGGTGAATCCAAATTAAGGATCAGAAAAGCTGATATAGATATCAGGCTCAAAAACTAGAAGAGGTGTGGAAAAGTGATTATCAGATACCAGATGCTGTGTTCCGAACTCATATATGCATAAACTGGCACCAGAATGAGTTTGTAACTTTTAAAATTTTGGACTTCGAGTCATACCATACAGACAATCGGACTCTAGGGTTCATCAGGGAAAAATGCATCAGACTGCCAAAATACGCGTCCAAAGATACAACGATTTAGCATCCACCATTTTCACCCATCATTACGGGTAGCTTTGACGCTAGGATGAATTCAAGGAAGGTGTAAAAATTTGGTTGACTTCAAATTTGGGTTCAGCTAAAAGAATACATTTATAGGAATACCATGCTCCACCATACCATTTTCACCCCTTTTTTTTATACTCCACCACGAAGGCCTAAGGCCTAAACACCCATTGGTACCGTGGGGCTATAGGGGGATACAGGGGAAAGGGGGGACGCCACACGGACTCTGGCGAGGGAACACGTGTGCATGCAACATGCACACATTCTGGCTCCGCATACGAGATCCGCCGGGTGGTACCTCCACGTTCGACAGTCAGAGACCGTCTACCACCTACGGACAATCACAACATCCATAGCCAAGAGAAAAATTTCTCCCGGGACGGGACTCGAACCCGCACAGCACACGGCGACTGATCAGGAGACCGAAGAGTCTACTACTGCGGCCACCGCTGCTGCCCCTTCTGGGGGAATAAGAATACCATGCCCCAGCATCTGGCATCCGAAAAACCGCCTGTAGGTGTAGTTCTTTTCGCCAGGGGGTGAGTTGAGTTCTAGACGTTTAGGAGCTTTTCTGGTCCCAGATTCAGTGTCGAAGAATAGATAGGAATGTTATGGTCTGTCTCACTACCATTTGGTGGGACTGAGTAATTTATTAGGAGAAGTTTGCTATTTAACATGGAAGTAATCAATGTACAATGTATATAATCCTATAAAACCAAGAATATACAAGTTATAGAAATGTTGGTACTAAAGTACTGTATAGAATCTTCAGGCTGAAGCAATATTCTTCAGCAACTGGCAATATCCCATTTCCTTAAACTAGCTTTGAACAAACGTCATAAGCTCGAGGTAATTTGTACTCCATAAGATCTCTTTGCCTTGAATGTATTTTTCTGAATAAAAATTTTTAATTTGTAGGTGCCTACGTATTGGGCTCAGGTGGTCTGGGCTACTCCAACAGAAGATCAAATCCTCGGGCTTCTTTCAGACATCCCCTATTACCTCCAGTCAGAGCTTCTGCGGATTTGATACCAGCAGCTGTCAACACGCCCCAGATGCAACAGTTTCAAGGGGTACAATTCAGCTATCCTCCAGGTAAAGAATGAAAATAAGTACAAACTCACTTGAACATCAACTTAATCATAACAAATTGAAATGTTATTTTGTGTTTCCCTCATAGTGTTAAAAAATGACAGGAAGGCTTTAAAGTGAGCAGACATTCGGTAAACACATATTTCAGCAATCTAAAGAAGCAAAATAAATCTTCAGGAATAAGCAAGTAGTTTATAAATATTACTATAATGAGTAATTGTAAAGTAATAAAATGCTGCAAAAATTAATTGTAAGAAATGACTCACATATTAATGATGGAATTCAATAAACAATCTTTCATAGTAAACATTAAAACATTAAATAAAACATTAAGGTTAACTAGTATCCACAATTAGCAATACTACAAATAACGTGTACACAACCTGATTACATAATTTAGTAGATAAGCGGAATATTTTATCTTATATCCGTTATTAAAGGATTTTTGAAAAGAAGTGTCAAGGAAACATGTATGCAGAACAGTTCCTAAAAATTTATTATACAACAAAAATAAACGTACACTCATTACCAGAATCGAATATATGTCATTTTTCCTTTAGAGTCTTTCCATTGATTTTTCAAATATATCATGTCGTCAAGTCGAAATTTTGGGTGACAAAATTGACGTACTGAAAAACAGACAACTAAAAACCTTAAGATGGCGCCAGGACATAAATCCAAAATCGTAAGAAATTTAGTTTTGTAAGGTATATCTGAAGTCACTTGAAATAGCATAAAAACCTTTGGTCGGTGCGTCCTTTGTAATTTCATGACGTATCATAGGCGTGCGGATTTACAGGAGGCAAAACACAATATTCATTTTCTTTTTCAATAATATGCCTAGAACACTGCTTCCATAGGTCTGTGGCAGCAATATGAGATACTGCATCTCTTATTGTGGCCAATAGCGATTCACTTAATTGAGGGGTCTGATTATGTTTTCTTACTTTTTTTTTAAAGCAGCCCAGACCAACTCAATCGGGTTAAAAATGCAGTAATAGGGAGGTAGACGTAATACTTCATGGCCATTTTGCTGAAGCAGATTGTCAGCAACATACTCTTTTTCAAATTTTTGTCTTTTAATAAGATCCAATAATATGGCTTTGGTTGATTTTTGTGGTATTTCCATTCCCTTATCCTTCATAAAATCAATAATGTCTTGTTTTTTTGTGCCTGTATTCGGAATTTTGTTTTTCTGTCGGGAATGGTATGGCGCATTGTCCATAATAATCACTGAATTTGGGGAAATGTTTGGTATTAACTGCTGCTCTATCCACTTTTCAAATAAGTCGGAGGTCATGTCCTCTTGATAGTCGGCACATGATTATTTGATATTTTTGGCAGATAACAGCAAGGCATTAGGTATAAATCCATTTTCACTGCCAGCATGGAGAATAATGATTCGTTTTCCACGGTTACATGGTGCATTTAAAATGCACTTGTTGCTGTCGTCAACCCAGCCGTACTGCACAACATCATGGGTATCATACCACGTTTCATCCAGGTAAATCAGATTTCTTTTCTGCTCTCTATAGATTTTAACTTTGTGCAAAAATTCTTGGCGCAATTCAACGATTCGAGACGACTCCATAATCACCATTTATCTAATTTTTTGTATTGAAAACCACACAGTTTTACAATACAGTGCAGTGAGTCTAAGCATTTGTAATTATAAAAATCTTCAGGATAATCTTTTAATTTATCCCGTATCATTTCCAACGTGGGCACCAAATTTTCTTTATAAAATCCGTATATTATACGACGAATATCTTCCTGAAAACCCACGTCTATTCTTTTTAATTTTTGCCCTATGCGCTTTCTGTGGAAGGAATGGTTTACTACATCTCCCCTTTTTATAACCCGATAAATGGTAGACCGACTGATTTTTGTCATGATACAAATTCTGTTTAAAATTTGATTTTGCGAGGAATCTGGATTTTCGTTTTTCAGACAATCATACATATTTAGGATTACTCTTTGGGTCTGTTCCTCTAAATCTTTATGAAAGAATTCTGCCTGCACAGGTTCATCAACCATCTCCTCGTGGCTTGGAGCATTTTCCCAAGGTCTCCAAAGAGCCATATTTAGGACACACAAGAACAATCAACACAACAATTAAATCAACAAGTAAACTGAGTATTCAAAAGTCAAAAACACACAAACTAATAAAATCTATGAAAAAACACGGTACACGGCACTGGCTAAACTGTTTCAATTTTCAGTAGCCACCTGGACTTGTTTCGAGCTCTGAAATACACGCTTTCTCATTGGCTATGTCCACGCATAGGCGTGCTTTACTCAACGTGGACCGGTGAAACTGCCTTTGATCTTATACGGGGGATATTTGCTGCGAAATTTGGCGATTTTTGCAGCAACAGAGCGTGTTAAATATAGATATATAAAACGCACCCGGTATTTCACAGTGTTTCAAGTGACTTCAGATAAAGTATACTCCTTTATTGCTTTAAATACTGCCATGGAAAGGAGCCAATGATTACAAGCCATATCAAGAATGAATCCCAGTCGATTTGTCTAAGAATTGACTATGATGTATTTCTCGTTTCCCTGAACAGGGGTTCAACTGGGACAAAAGCAACCCTATGATTAGTTTCTGAGAATTATGGGAAGTTTGCCCTATTTCAAAGTTGGTGCATGTGCCAATTGTAGTCCTCGAACGAAATACTTGAGACTTGTCATACTGAAGAAAGTGTTTCATTTGAGAGCATTTAAGTGTTGATAGGTGTCATGTTGTTTTTGGTCATGATTCTTGCTAGATCAATTCAAGAGCAAGCTTATTTTTATGCGTTACCGCTTAAATGGATTACACAAGTTATGCACGAGTTCAACAAAATTGATTCAAGGGGACAGCTCGCTTCACAAGGGTGCAGAAAAGTCGTGGTTGATTAGTTGTCTTTGATTATGACATTTGCAAGGTCAATTCAAGGTGATGTTGATTTTCGAGACGAAAGAGAAGAAAAACCGCACTAATGTATAGCTTTAGGGTATTGTAATTTATTAACTACGAATTTGAGTTTTCCTGTTTTAATCTACTTCCAGCATATCGGACGGTTTCGGTCAACTTTTTGGAGGACAACTGCCACCTTATGAAGAGCATACAAAAAAACACTAGGGTTTGGGTGCTAGACTTACATCCACAATAATGCCCATTAATGATTGCATTATTATCGGGTGAATCCTCGTTATTTCCATAAACTTGTGGATAATATATTCGTAGTCGATATTGGGTGTCTAAAACGTAAGAATTACTTCCCTGCTACTTCATCTAAACCAACATTTGCCTCTTGCGCTGTTGCTCCCATAAATTATAAATGGATGATGGTATCTATTACGAGGGATGTCTTTTAAGTTGCATATAGAAATATAGTGGGCCGCGTAGCTCGAACGTCAGTACTGAATCTTAACCTCACTCTTTAGTTTGACAATAATACGTGCAGTGTTCTCACTACAGTGAATTTTTAAGTGTCACCAAGTCATGAGAAAAATGGAACTCAACCGAGAACATTTTCGCGCCATAATTTATCACAACTTTCAGAGACAATAATTGCAACAAGAATGCCTTGCTAAGTTACTGTCAGTTTTCGGCAGCGAAGCGCCACATCAGTCGACAATTTCGCGTTGGTATGGAGAATTCAAACGTGGACGGGAGAGTCTTAGTGACGATCCCAGGGTGGGTGCACCAAAAACGGCAGACACCCAGGTAAACGTCGATGCTGTGCGCAAACTTATCATTGAAGATATACATTGACATATCGCGAGATTGAGGCGTCTCAAAGACCTCAATTCAAAAAATTTTACGTGAAGAATTGGGAGTAAGAAAATTAGTTTCTCGTTGGATACCAAGTTGTCGACTGAAGGGCAGAAAGCAGCCAGGGTTAATTGGTGTCAAAAAACGCTTGACCGTTTCAATTCCGGAAACTCAAAAAATGTGTACAGCATTTTTAGTGGTGATGAATCGTGGATTTACTGTTATGAACCAGAAAATAAACGACGGCTGTTTGGGTGTTCCAAGGTGAAGAAAAGCCAACAAATATCATCCGTTCTCGAAGTGTTTCGAAAAAGATGGTCGCGACATTTGTGTCAAAAGCGGGTCATATTGCAACAATTCCTCTTAACGAGGAAAGAACTGTTACTGCGGATTGGTATACCACCATTTGTTTGCCAAAATGCATCACCGAACTTCGAGAAATCAACCGCGAAAGAAGAATCATCCTCCACCAAGACAATGCAAGCTCGCACACAGCCCAAAAAACAAGGCAGTATTTAACGAAAGAAAACGACTATCCTCCATATAGTCCCGATCTAAGTCCTAATGATTTATTTTCTTTCCCGAAAATTAAAAACAGACTGCGTGGTCAAAGGTTCCAGTCACCAGAAGAAGCAGTTGACGCATTCAAAAATGCCGTTTTGGATCTGCCAGCAAACGAGTGGAATAAGTGCTTCGAAAATTGGGTCGAGCACATGCAGATGTGTATTAATCTTGGTGGAGAATACTTCGAAAAACAATAAAGTCATTTAAAACTACCTACCGTGTTGTTTTATTTCCATATTCAAAACATAAAAGACATCCCTCGTAATAAGAGCACCGGCTATTTTATAAAGATTTGCTAGAGCATGTTGCATTTGAATGGTTTTTTCGGGCAATTCAAAAATCGATTATTTACCACATTTGCAAATCGGTATCATGACAACTTTTATTGAGAAAGGCGAGAACTATATGATACTCAATTTACAAAGAAATCGACTAGGACCCTATTCTTTATATTTTTTATGGTAGTCCTTTGACGAATAAACTAGTCAGTTCGTAGGGCTGACAATCTCGGAAGATGAAAATCGAACTACTTATCGTTCTTTGCTCCTTTGCGATACAGTAGTCCACAGCATACTCAACCCATTTCCAAATATCTCATTAAGCATCGATAAAATCGGCTACGACAGATTGAAAGTAGCCGTATCGCCAAACGATATTAATGGGCCCCGATTAC